GAGATATTGAAAAGAAAAGAGAGCAATAATCTGGCCACCCCCTTCACTTATTATTTATACTAAAAATATAAGAGCAATACAAAGACAACTATGCCCTTATAGGGCGGCATAACATAAAATAGCATATATAAGACTCAAAAACATAATAAAATTTGGACTCACATAACTACTGTGGTCCCCACCACCTATCTAACAACTAACATAAAACATCTACTCATAAAACAACACAAAACTGATTAATCTTCAACACATTTAAATACTGATATTTATAAAATTTGATTAGTTGTTTAGGCATTCTCTCTCTCTTTCTTGAGAATTATCCTTTTTTTTTAACACTTGGATGTGTAAGGTTATCCCTGATATGCCCTTTTAGATTTTGCTCATTAACTGGGATAAAATCTTCTTCCTAGAAAAAATGGTGTTTCTGATAAATGAGTGAAGTATATAAGATCTTTAAATCTAACAGTCCTAACCACTTCTATGCTGCTGCATTTTCTAATGCATGAAATTTGTTAGATAAATGGAGTTTCTGTTCCTAGATATTTCTTTCATTTGTCCTACAGATATGCTATGAGCTTTGCAGCAAATTACTTGAAAGCAGTGTATGTGAAGAGGACCCCTGCAGCAAACAAAACCATCCATATTCTTTCTAGTGCATACAAAGCTACATTCACTTGGCATGACATGAAGACTCTTCAGGTTAGATGCTATGAAATTTAATATTTAGTTGATTAGTTATGGGCTTTGCTCTCACTCTACCTTAACAATACATACATCAGGAATGTCGTGAAGCATGTGGAGGGCAGGGCCTGAAGACAGAAAACCGTATTGGTCAGTTGAAAAGTGAAAATGATGTGAAGTCCACCTTTGAGGGGGACAACAATGTGCTGATGCAACAGGTAATGTCAAAAATACGTATAGTTGAGGGAAAAAGAAATAGATATTTGGTGTTATTTCTTTTAGTATCAATAACGGAATCAGAGTCTGAAATGTGTGTATGTCAAATTTGGCAAGTGCAAAAAATGGTATTCATGTAGTAACTAGCTATACTTTAATCTTTAAGTGATATAATTTTTACGTTATTTAGATGATGGAATAATTGTTGAAAATAAAAATAAATTAAATATAGAATTGTTGACCAAAAGAAATGACACTAAGCGAACAAAATAATTTATAATTGATTGTACTAATTATCATGTATAAAACTCAACTCAGCTTTAAACCCAACTATTTCAATCATCTATGTTTTCTTGTCAAATTACAAGTCTTTAAATCACTTTTACCATTTTAGATTACGTTTTCTTTTGTCATTCTCTTGCTCTTTTAGAGCTTTGTACTCATGCCAATTCATTCCTCGCTAGTGTAGTCATTGGTTGTCTATGCACATTACCAAACCATGTTAGTCGACTTTTCCTCATCCTGTCATTAATTGGAGCTTCTCATAAGTCCTTTTGATGTGTTCATTTCTGATTTTTTCCATTTTAGTCTTTCATTCAATCATCTCAACATCCTCATCTTATACATTCATTTTTTGTATATGTTTCTTGATTGCCAAACAATCTGTCCCATACAGTGTTGCATGGACTCTCCTAAATGGATGAAATGTCTATGTTAGATATGCATGAGATTCCAACACTCCATGGATTCTTAAAGGAAACTTCTATGTAACATTTTTCTGTTCTCTTTGCTTATTCTATATAAATGAACAGGTAATGTACACGGATGTCATTTTTTCCATAATTAAGTAACAAAGAAATCTTTTAGACCTCTTTTAGTTTTGTAATATTAAAATTCAACAAGTAATATTAATTAATCCTTATTTCTTCATTTTTCCGATCAGACTCCCAGATGCACATCAAATTTTGATTGTCATGTCCATGTCCATGTAACATTGGTCCCATATAACAATGCTGATCTTATAACTGTCTTATAGAATTTACTTTTTAGTTTTATTGGTATATACTGATCAAATGGCACATTGGATGCACTGCTCCACTTCAACCACCTTGCTTTCTAATCCTATAGGAAACATCCTCATTAATTTCTCCCTCATTATGGATGATTAATCCAAGATACTATAAGTGATTAGTTGGAGTTTCTCTTGATCATCAGTCTTGATTGCCCCAAGTTTGCTAATAATTTTAGTAAAATTGCAATGCATGTATTTTGTCTTTGTTCTACTTATATTGAAACCTTTTGATACTAAAGCATCTCTCCATGGTTATAACTTTGCATTGAACCCATTTTTAGCCTTGTCAGAAGATAACATGCACCATGGGACCTTCAACTGTAAATGTCTAGTTACTTCATCAATGACTAGTGCAAAAAAGATATAGACTATGCCTTTCTCTAAGTCAACAAATACCAAACGGAGATCTCTCTTCTATTCCTTAAATTTTTCCATAATCTATTAAGTAACTTCAAACTCTTATGTTAAATTCATGCTGGGAGATGGGAGATAAATTATGGAAGTTATCTTTTGATTTGGTCACGCATTACAAACTTGACAAAAAGAAAAGTTGCTTAAAGTGTCATGTTGATGTATGCATGTATCTGACATTGGTAGGACCCCCATTGTGAAGTGTCCATGTAGACTAGGATATTAAATCATAGTAGGAATAATAGTTGGCACTTGGCAGAATGGTTCAATTTTTGGACCTTTATAATTGTCAATTTTTGTGCTGTAATCCATCTGAGACGTGATGTGATTTCTTGATAAGAACGTGGAATGATTTCATCTATAGATGGAGGCAAAACTATTATTGGAATGACAAAAATCATATTAAGCTTCATATTTCTTTTTTATTGGTCTGATCCATATGGGCTTTATGGTTTGTAAAAAATCAGGTCAGTAAGGCACTCCTATCTGAATATATAGCAGCTAAGAAAAAGAAGAAGCCATTTAAAGGGTTGGGATTAGAACACATGAATGATTCTTGCCCTGTAATTCCAGCTCAACTCTCAAGCTCTGTCCTTAGAAGCAGCAAGTTCCAGGTAATATAAATATATAATTATTAGTAGATGCTTTTTTGACATGTCTTGAAAGGTAGAAATATTTGACCATCTGATTATTATCAGGTTGACATTTTTTGCTTGAGAGAGCGAGATTTATTGAACCGTTTAGCTTCTCAAGTAGCAGAGCGTCAAGCACAGGGAGAAAGCAGAGAGTATGCATTCCTAATGGTAAGTAAAAGAACATCCAACATTAATCCATCTGCATGTTCTACCTATTCAAAGAATCAAGTTTCACCATTCGGAGGTCCTACTTAAGAGTTGAGTTGTCAATGGGTTGGGTCTACCTGATAGAACTAAACTGATTATACCAGTTCTGGTTTGAGTTTTGTGTCCTAAATCTCTAGATTATAATTGTGTTGGGACTGGGTTTTTCCATTCCGAACCAATTATGTAGTTAATAATTTATAAAGGTCTCATGATTTTCTTGTAATTTTTGTTATTTTTTGTCTAAAAGGGTAGATTTCATACACAGTATATAAGATAATTTTAGTTGAAACACGTGTATTATGAACATATAAACAGTTTACTATTTACTATCATTTTTATTAAGGTTATATTTTCAAAAATGAAGTCTCAAGTTATCATATTATAGGTAATTATATATGTCAAGTATAATCATGTCAGATCCAATTCTCCTGATTAATAATTGGTTTAGTTCTGGTTCTAAGTTTATGTCCCAATTATAATTGGACTGGTTCAACCCTGTCCCGGACCTGGTCAGACCCACTGACAACTCTACCTAAGAGAGTGCATAATCACATAGGCTGTCTCATTTTTTTATCATTAAATTAACAATTAGTTTATTGCATAATAAAAAGAGAACATACAGATGTCCCACTATCCAATTAGATAGAGAAGTAGGTTTCTGAGAACCTCTGGACTCTGGTACTTCACACTCTAGTTTATTTCTATTGACTCCCAATCCTGCTAGGCTTTCTGCTAAGGTGTTTGCAGACCTAGGTAGTTCAGGTTAGTAAATGATGCCGAAGTTTCTCTTGTTTCATGTCTTAAACGCTAAGGTCCTTCCACCTTGATATCAGACAATTAATCCCTACTAGATAATCTCCTTCAACAAACAAACCATTTCACACCCTTTCCTTTGAAAATCTCAGTCCATAAAGAAGAGCTATGAGTTTGAGTTCAGCTCTTACAAAATTCCCAACCTTTGCTGGACCTGAATATCTCAACAATATATTATTGCAGTGATCTCTGAAAGCTCCCCTGACCCTGGACTGGCCTGAGTGGCTGGGTCCCTAGAGAACTACCATCAAAATTAATATTCATGACCAAGTTAAGTTTCATTTCAAAATCTAGTTAATGATGTTCCAGTCTTCCAGATCCTTGTTGGGAGTCCTGTTTTGTACTTATGGCCTGCTGCATGTTTCCTGTGTGCAGCATGATGTTTCCTTTAATAAAATATTCAATGTTAAGTTTCATTTCCTTTAATTAATATTCATGACCAAGTTAAGTTTCATTTCAAAATCTAGTTAATGGTGTTCCAGTCTTCCAGATCCTTGTTGGGAGTCCTGTTTTGTACTTGTGGCCTGCTGCATGTTTCCTGTGTGCAGCATGATGTTTCCTTTAATAAAATATTCAATGTTATTTAAAAAAACGGTTTTTATTGATTCCCCCACCTCGTAAATTTTTATTGGTTTGTAGTTTGTACAGTTGGGAACAGTGACAGGTGGTGGAATCTATCAAAATANGGGGGGGGTACTCTATCATAGGTGGGGATTTGGGTGAATAAAACCCAGAAAACAATAAAAGTTCATGAGGTGGGGCAAACCATAAGTTTCCCAAAAAAAGGAACAGGTGGCATATTACAGATTAACTGATCTATGGGTCATCTAGCCCCAGATCTGAGCCTTTCAATATATTCAACAATTTATTCTTTTATTCTTTCTGTTTTTTTCCTGTAATCTTATTTCAATTTTCTTTCACTTCTGTGCAACCAGAGCTATCAACTTGCAGAAGATTTGGCTAGAGCTTTCTCAGAACGAGCAATACTACAAAACTTTTTAGAATCTGAGGCCAGCCTATCTGTTGGTTCACTAAAGGTAACTGTTAAAACTACTTCTTGTCATATGTGTGATGCTTCAGTCAAAATGGCTGTTAAATGGTTGTTTCCTGAATATCTAAACACCAGTGGGCCATTTGGATTAAAGTAGGATAACAGATTTTTGGTGTAAATAGTTAATGAGACAAAATCAAGTTTTTAAGAGAGTAAAAATTGATATAAAGTCTGGTCACTGGAAAAAGAAAAAATAAATATGGATTAAGAAATTGTTTACCTGTCTCTTTGTCAAAAAAAAAAAAAAAGAAGAAATTGTTTGCCTGTCTTTAAGCCAGCTATTGAAGCCTCAATCTTACACATCCTAAATACCCATCAACTATTAACCACCGCCAATTTCCTCCTTGATAATGCACTCGGACCTCAATTTTACTGCTGATGTTTGAAAGAGGAAAAGTGGACTTTTAAATTAATTAAAACCAAACCCATCGTCCTCTTCTTCCCATCTTGGTATGAAGACTGGTAATCTACCCAAGGTTCAAAATATTGGTATCAGAAAGCATATCACTAAGATAGGAAATGGATGTGTATTACAATATGCTTTGGATGTGTATGGATATGGTGGAAAATTTTGGATACACATGGAAACATTAAGAAAGCTCTCAAAAATCTCACAAATACATTAATAACACTAAATCTAAGGTTGAAATGACTATGAATATGGTAAAAACACATAAGAAAAAACATACTTTAATGGTTTATGAAGAAAATAGATTATAATCAACATACCATGACATGTAGATATGATACAATGACTACAGTAATAATGCCTCAACCATGGGTCCAATAGACTTACAAATATTGCTATTTACAAATTACTACATGTATGAGGCCATTAATATGCTGTTATTTATTTAAGATAAATTATTAATTAATAATTTGACAATATATAATTGATTTAAAAATATATTAAATCAATGAGAATGTAGAAGATCCATAAATCCAAGAGTCCAATACAAAAATCCTATGTAACTATTACATTTTAATTACCAAATCAATTATTCTATATTTTATTAATTTTACTTTTGGATGATACCATAATAATAGCTCAGCTTTATCTTAAATTCTTAATGTTCCAGATAATGGCTATATAACTTTTTAAAAGTTATTATTTATTAATGTAAATTAAGTTAGTTTTGTAAATAATATTTTTTTATGTAAATAATAAATATGTTGTTTTTACTTTTTATTGTAAATTAAATCATTACTTAATAAGTTACAGACCTATATAATATTTATTTAAAAAATATATCAAAGCCATTAGAATTTCTAAGATACATATTATATGCAGTTCATAAATTTTAATTACTAAAATAATTATTCTATTTTATGGTTTTTTATTCCTGTAAATTATCAATAAATTAAAAAAAAAAACAGTTTCTGAGATCATCCATATATCATATATTTCATTAATATCTATAAATACTGATTTTAATGATCAATTTTTCTGGTTGAACAATCATATATAAAACTATTTATTTGAATTGAATGTGGTCCTCAAGTTAAATAAAGCCTGTTATTTTAGCTATTACCACATTATTTGGGCAATGGTTCAGTAGTGAATAGTTATACCTTTAAAATGGAAGACCTGGGTTTAAACCCTATTAAAAATATTTAATTTTTTAAGTCTGTGTTTAATCTTTAACGAGAGAGTTCCTCAGGGTATAGGAGGGATCTTGAGAGATAAGGATGGTAATATCTTAGCCTTGTATTCGGGTCCAGCGGGAATGGGAGAGTCAAATAGGGCTGAGTTGTTGGCAGCTTTACAAGGTATTCAGATTGCTAATCAATTTGGTGTTGAGAACTTTCAAATTGAAAGTTACTCCAAGATTGTTGTAGGTTGGTTAACAGATCCGAGCTTAGTCATTTGGTGCTACAAGAACCTCTCAAAGAAGGCCAGCTGGTTATTAAGAAACATGAATGTTAGTTAATATACAGTGGGTTGGCAGGTCTGCAAATGCTATGGCAGATTATCTTGCTAAACAAGGGGTTTTGAGGGAACATTTGTACTGGGCTACCTTGTAATCTTGATCTATAGTGCTAAATGATTTTCACTCTTTAAGGGAGGTCGCACCTCGTGCCTCTCAGTAAGATGATTGTAACAGTTATCATATTGTCTTAATAAAATTCCTCTTCAATTATCAAAAAGAAAAAAAAAAAAAAAAACTTTAATGAGAGAGATTGAATGGCGGGATTTGAAAAGCCACAGTTAATGGGATTAAGTGGTAAGATTTAAGATCTTAAATTAGAAATTTAAAAGCACCAAATTAATGGGGGTATGAAAAGATGGAAAAAAGCCACAATTAATGAGAAGTAAATAGTGAGATTAAATAGGTTAAACTTAAAAGAAAACTAATGACACAATCTTGAATTTCAAGAGCATGGTTTGCATCAGCACCAATGCACCATATGTACCTATGTATTGGCGGATACAAACCATTACAAGCCTAATACGGGTAATAGAGATCACAGGAAGAATGCATCAATGTTGGGCCATTCCACCTGTGCCACATGTTACTCACCTTGTAAACTGATACAATATGCCCTCCCTGTATTGGGTGTATCATATCAATATTTTAAGCCTTGAATCCACCTTCTAAGAAAAAAGAGCACCAAATTGGTGTGTTTTAATAGGGAACAAGGTTGCTTTTAGTATCATCAAACACTTATTCACAAGCCATTGAAAAGTGTTTCGATGCGACCCTTAAGGAGTATGAAAACTTCAGTTACTATTTAAGGTTAAATAATGATGGCTTGTTTAGCAAAGACGACAAAGTCTTCGTATTAACTGGATGTGATCTTGTTAGTTCAAATGCCATGTATTTTAGAAGGTGCCAACTGGCTCAGTTGATAAGGTCCCTATCTGATTGTAGCAGTGACTTGGGATCAAGTTCCACCTTCACCATTGTTGGGGGATTGTGGGTATGGTGATGGGCAACCCCTGTAGTTTAGTCCATGGAGCCAAAAAAAAAAGGCCATGTATTTTGGAATTTTCCTTTGCTGCACGTGATTGTTATTGGACATCTCAGCTCTCAGGGGAGGGAAGAAACTGACTGTTCACCTCTAAATTTTCTTTGCAGAATGTGTTGGGTCTTTTGAGGTCAATGTATGCCATGGTTAGCTTGGAAGAGGATGCATCATTCCTCCGATATGGTTACATGTCAACTGAAAATGATGCTGCTGTGAGGAAAGAAGTGATGAAGCTCTGCAGTGAACTGAGATCCCACGCACTTTCTTTGGTCAGTTCCTTTGGTATTCCTGATGCTTTTCTCAGCCCAATAGCTTTCAACTGGATTGAGTCTAATTCATGGTCTTCAGTTCATAACTAGATAAGGGCCGACATATTTCTCATGCTTGAAGCAGAATAGAAATTGCTTATAGGCTTGTGTCAATAAGGTGCCTATGTTGATTTTCTGCTTCCAATTGTTCAAGGCTAAGGCTACTCTACTGTAAAGTTATACCATACACTTAATAAACCCAATGCTTTATTGGCATTATCTGAAGTAGGCCCATCCAAATGGGGGTCTTTCTTGTTCTCTATTGGTGTTTATATGGAAATTCTGCCCAACTTATACAGGATCGTACCATTGGAAAAAGACAATAATGAAGTTTGTTGTGTATAATCATGTTGATGGGTTGTTATTACAAGTCATTTATTTGGGAAAATTCTTGAAATATAGAGCCATTTGGTCAAACATATCCTCACTTCTGGAGGAGATGCGTGCCTTTTTTAGACTTTAGAATTCTTTTTCCAAGGAAAGCTCTCCATCTTTATTTTAGGGAAAGACATGGTACCTGAAAAACTTTAATCAATCAGAAACCCCATATGAATGGTTATTAAATTTTCAGGTACCATACCTAACCGGTACCATAATGGGAAACATAACTGATTTTATCAGTTTAGCAAACTTCGTCATTTGTTTTTTCTTTTCTTTTTTTTTTTTCCATGGATGTATCGTGTTAAATATAATAGTTAAACTACAATTTCTCTGCCACCAAATCAAGAAAAATAAAGAAGATATTGTACTTTGTCAGAGGAATCATATCTCAATTTAAATTGGACGATTTGGGTTTAATACTCTTCCAAAGCAGGCAAAGCTGAAATTTGGAGTGAAAATCAACAAAGAATTGTAATTACGTTGTAATATGTGAACTTGAATATTAGTATTTAAGGGTGGTGATGCACCAAAATGTTATAAATATTATATTCCTGCTTGGATGCAGCATTTGTAAATTTGTATCACGAGAGATGTGTTGATTACTTGATTTTTAAAAATCCCGAAATAGTCCCATTCCAATAACTTGTTAACAACCGGAACAATTTAGTTTTAGCCAATAAAAAAATTCTTTTTAGCTATTAAATTTATTCTCCAAGATGTAACCTCGATTAGAGATGAATTCATCTCATGTAGCATTGAATCTCATGAATATATTTAATAGTACAAAAGTTTTCAAAATAATAAACTCACTGGCATCATGAAAGTCGCTCAAAATACAGTACCATTTTTGTGTAAAAAACTGCTACAAATAATTATTTTAAAGCTGGTATGTTCTTTTTTTTTTATTCATTAAACTAGAAGGCGTAGATCTTATTTGGGTTCTCATTTGACTTTTCAACTCTTCATGATCTTTTTTTTTTGTTTTAAAAAATTATGATTTTGTTAGAGTAGATGATGAATTTCAATCTAAAACAATTCCATATGTTTTCCCCTCTGAAATTCTCATGTAATTATGTTAAAATTCAAATAAGAAGTTAAGAAACACATGCAATATTTATTGATATGTCTATATTCTGCTATCTTCTAAAATTTTTACAATGATGAGGATGAAAAAGAAAATTGCTTAAGTCGATTTATTAGGCCCCAAGTCCCCACTAATTTTCTTGGGGTTTACATCTTAATATATACTTAAATAAGTACATATAATAAATTATTACTATAAAAAATAGCCAAATTATCTGAAAATTTTGGGGGTAGAGTAACTAACCTAACTTCATTTTCCACCATTAAAGAACTTTCAACCTCCTAAATAACTTATTCACTAAAAATTAAAGCAATAAGTCATCTAGTGCAGCTACTTCAATTGTTATCAAATGGCCCTAAACCTTATTGGACTTGAATTCTTTATACCACAATTAAGTTTGGAAATCAGGAAAAAAAGAGGAATAAAAGATGACTATGGTACTTTGAAAAGAATTATGTGTTAAGCATAATGTAATTGAATGTAATTTGTTAGTTGCAGTAAACATGATATTATCTAATTTATTGCAAAATCAATAATGTAAAAATTGCATTTTGAAGTAAAACAATGAATTAGTGATAAAGTGAAACGTCGTAGGTTACATCTTTAACATGATTACTAATTACACCCTAAGAATTGTGAACCAATGAAATGTAGATCGTGCACATAGTGATCTTTTTTTTTTTTTTTAAATTTATTGTGCAGGTTCTCCACCATAGTTGGCCTCTAGATTCATTTGCCAAAATTAAATTCCGAAATTTTAGGGGGTCTTCATTATTGTCTTTGTTTTCATTTGCTTTTAAAATTGTATTACATGCAAAAAAATGAAAAATATTATCGAATTATATTTTGTTTTAAGAAGAAAAATAAATCGGTTTTGTTTAAAAAAAAAATCCATCCATGTTTTTTTAAACCACCAAATAACAGAATCTGAAATAAGAAACAAATTTTGGAATACATGCATTATTACAATACTAAGTTCTAGAATCTGTTATTGACTGCTATTGAATTAGTTAGTTAGTTAGTTAGCTATACAAGTTGCATTCGACATGTGTTTCTTTGTTTCTTAGAAGCTTCCATCTATATTATTTATATTATTTAAGACATGAATGAATTTCAAATTGTACCGTTGTATTCCAAATTTTAGATGGTATCATAGCCTAGGTAACTGTTTTTTCTGTTTTGTTAAACTCCTCTGCAATCTTTTTCATGGCGTTTGAAACCAGATCCGGTGGATTTGTCAGAATGGATTCACTCTCAGATCCATCTTCTGAATATTATCTTCATCCATCGGATAATCCAAGTGTCGTCCCCGTCTCTTGCTCACTGACCGAAGACATATACTCAACTTGGCGGCAGGCAATGCTTAATGCGCTCTACGCCAAGAACAAAACAGGGTTTGGTGATGGATCAATCTTGAAGCCTGATCATTCTAGCCTTGTAGAAATATCCGCTTGGTCCAAATGTAACTCCATGGTTATATCATGGATCTTTAATGCTTTAGCCAGGGATTTACATCCAAGTGTAGCCAGGGATATCTGGAAGGACCTAGAAGAGATATTCACAGGACAATCCACCTCACATGTTTCAGTTGAAGCGGGAATTAGCCATGCTGCGATAAGAAAATATCTCCATTGTTGTTTATTACACCAAATTGAAAGGCATTTGGGATGAAATCGCAATTTGTACAATTCCTCCAGTTTGCAGTTGTGTTGATGCTACAAAAGAGTTCATGATCGAGAAAGAGAAAGGACAAGTCTATCAGTTCTTGTTAGGACTCAATGAACAATACAACACCATCAGATCTAGCATCCTAAGTATGGATCTACTACCTACAGTCAAGAAGAGAAACATCTTTCTCTTATTGGATCAACTACACCTATTGTTGAGAGTGTTGCATTTCAAGCCATCGGGAACATACAGAAAAATGGATCAATGCAATAGAAGGATAATTCAAGGCCCCAGTGTGACCATTGCAAGAAAATAGGGCATATCAAAGCCTAGTGTTATGAACTTGTGGAATATCCACCAAATTGAGAAATGAGAAGTAAGAATTCATACAAGAATGGTGTCAACAAGAAATAGAGATCTTCCTCTAATTAGGTTGTGGCTTTTACATCCTCTACAACTATTGATGATGCCTTACCTATCCCTAGATTGTCAAATGAGCATTATCGTCAACTCATGAATTTCCTCATTAGTAACAACTAGAATAATGTAGAAAATTTTGCTGGTAAGTCACTGATTTTTCAAGAATCTATCAATTCAAAGTCTTGGCTCCTTGAAAGTGGAGATTCAGACCATATGACCTGCCTAGACATGGCTAATTCTAGCAACCTTACAACTTGCAATCCTGTCTTGCTACCTAATGGTTCCCATGTACCAGCCACTTCTAAGAGAGAAATCACTCTCTCTTTAAACATGACTTTGCATAAAGTCTTCATATACATGGCTTCAAGTGCAACCTGATTTCTGTAAGCATACTTGCATCAAAATGCAATTGTGTGCTCTTATTTTTTTCCTGATTTTTGTGTACTATAGGACCTAGCTACCAAGAAAGTGTTTGGGGGTGAGCACAATGCATAATAGACTCTATCACTTTACCTCATAACCAACTTTGTCACCCACCGTAGCTCTTTAGTCCACTACCACCTTTGTTAGCTCTCCTACATGGCATTCGAGGCTAGGGCATGCCTCATATAGTATATTATCCTTAATACCAAATGTACATAGTGACATTTGGGGGGGGGGGGGGTGTCGTACCCCGTCACATAGTGGTGCTCACTATTTCTTAACCATATTGGATGATTTTTCACAAGCTACTTGGGTATACCTACTTAAATGTAAATTAGATGCTTATCCTTTCTTTATCACGTTCTCTATGATTGTTCAAAATCAGTTTAATACCAATATCGAGTGTGTAAGATCTGATAATGGGTCAAAATTCTTATCAAAACCAATGCTAGCCTATCTACGTGAACATGGCATTGATCATCAAAGATCTTGTGTTGAAACTCCACAATAGAATGGGATTGTAGAAAGAAAACACAGACATTTGCTTGAAGTTGCAAGAGTTTATGATTTTAGGCCCACCCTCCCATAGAATTTTGGGGAGAATGCATATTGGCAGCAACACACATAATCAATTATCTGTCGACTCTAGTTCTGTCCAACAAAACACCTTATGAAGTTTTATTCAAGAAGCCATCGGATTACAACCATCTAAGAGTTTTTGGATGTTTGTGTTATGTCCACACGTTATATAGGGGTGTGAAAAATTTGCTTCTTGATCCATTAAATCCACATTCATTAGGTATCCTCATCATCCAAAGGGGTATCGTCTCTACAACTTGGAAACCAAAGATTTTTTTTTTGTTTCCAAAGTTGTCATATTTTTCCCTTTGCAACATACCTTTCCCATGCTGAACCTACAAAATCAAGTCCAATAATTCCCTTACCAGTCTCAGAACCAATAGTTGAATCTACAGTTCCACATGGCAGCCCTCTTCCCTCTTACTTGTGAGACTAATACCTCTTCGTTAGCCTATGACAGGTCCATGCCACTTAATCATGAATCCAACTTTGAACCTGAAGCAACCCTGCCCATTCATGTCAATGAGCCAAGTCTAACAAACACACAACCTTCAATCTATGCACATGAAATTGTTTACTAAGGTCCACTCACACTCAAAAAGCACCGACTCTTCTCTTTGACATTGAGTGCCCTACAATTTGTTATCCCATTTCCAACTACTCATCTTTGGATACAAGCATTGCATCCCTTTTGAACCCACCACTTATGATCAAGCCAAGAAACATGCATGTTGGAGACAAGCAATGCAAAATGAGTTTGATACTCTTAATAAGACCAATACATAGACCTTAACTTTACTACCTCCAGGAAAAAAAGTTATCCGTTGTAAGTGGATGTATAAAGTCAAGCTTAACCCGGATAGATTAGTTGAGAGATTAAAAGCCCGCTTAGTGGACAAAGGCTATACCCAAGCTGAAGGAATAGATGACATTGAAACCTATGCCCCAATTGCAAAACTTGTCATAGTTCGATGCCTTTTCACTTTGGTAGCTGCTCATCATTGGGAAGTTCATCAAATGGATGCTAACAATGCATTTCTTCATGGGGAACTTCAAGAGGAAATCTACATGCTTCTGCCTCCTGGATTACTGTCCACACAAGATCCAGGGGTCTGTCAACTTAACAAATCAATTTATGGGCTCGAACAGGCATCAAGGAACTGGTTCTTTACATTGGCTTGAGAACTCAAACAAAGGGGTTTTAGTTAGTCATCAGCTGATAATACCCTCTTCACTTTACATGGTCCCAACTTTACTCTTGCTGTATTGGCATATGTGGATGACTTACTCACCATGGGAAGAGATCATGCTCAAATTGTAGGTCTTAAACAATATTTTTGAAGGTGTTTTCCAATTAAAGATCTAGGCCAACTAAAATATTTTTTGGGCATTGAACCTGATATGGGTACACTCATTAGCCATCCTGATCAATACCGTCGGCTAGTAGGAAGACTCATTTATTTGACTACCACTCGGCCTGAGATTATTTATCCGGTTCATATTCTCAGTCAATTCATGAACAAGCCCTGCCAGCCGCACATGGATACTGCATTACGAATTTTTCAATACCTTAAGTCGTGTCCTGATCAAGGTATCCAACTATCAACCAATAGTGACCTTGTCTTACGGGCTTATTGTGATTCGGACTGGGCTGGCTGCCCATCCATATATCGTTCTACTACCAATTACTTTGTCACACTTGGTCAATCACCACTCTTTTGGAAAAGCAAGAAGCAAAACATCGTTTCTCGCTCCTTGGCCGAGGCAAGGTATCGATCCATAGCTGCTGCTACTAGTGAGTTAATCTGGCTACGACGATTGTTCAAAGATTTGAGTCTAATCCATTCTCAGCCCATGGAATTGTATTGTGATAACAAAGCTTCTCTCTACATTGCAGCCAACCCAGTATTCTACAAAAGGACCAAGCACATCAAGATAGATTGTCATTTCATAAGTGACCATCTTCTATTTGGACTCATTACTACTACCCACATACTTATAAAATCCTAACCAGCTGACATTTTTAAAAAGGCACTGGGACATGAGCAATTTCGGACTTTGATTTCTAAATTGGGCATTGTTAATCCACATGCTACAACTTAACTTAAGGGGGCGTATTAATTATCATATTTTGGAATACATGCATTGTATATGATCTTTTTAAACATGATATTAATTATCATGTTATCTAATCCAATTCTATTTTGAAAACAGACAATGTTCTTTAGTTTTTTTTTTTTGGGTAAAATACAAAAAACCTCCCTTAAAGTTTCTATAGCCATCTATATCTTATCTGCCATCTACGATGGCGTCGATTTCATTTCCATCTTTCTCAGCGGAGCCCCTTCTGACTATTTCCAGGACGGCATTTCAATTGGAGCCTTCCATTCCATCAAGAACAGCATATCGTTGTGGTCACCTTTGCTGGCAATTCAAGACCCGACACTGGTTTTGTTTCCAACGTTTCCCCATGGTTGTTCACTGTTGGAGCCAATACCATTGATCGGGAATTCCTTGTTTACGTTAAACTTAGCAATAAAGTTCAGCTTAAGACTACACTTTACACTCTGATAGTATATCGTCGTCGTGGTCGTGGCCATGAGGCAAGCAATCGCATCCATCTTCGATGCCCACCACTAACTCCATCGTTGATTTGAATGGCCAGTTTATAAAAAGGTAAAATAGACATTTGGAAAAAAAGTTATACATCGGTAAATGTTTTCCGTCTGAGCTTAATTTTTTTTAAAATTTAAGGGAAGTTTTTGTTAATTTTATAATTGTCAAAAACTTTTGTATTTTAGACGTTTTTGAGAAGATTGGATTTGGATCGGATCCGGCATCTAATTATCAAACCTGATCTGCATCTGTTTTGTATCCGATATGTTGGATTTCTGAATAGATTCAAATTTAATCCGCAATTATCTTGTTTTAAATCACCAAAAACTTAAAAAATCTAATTATTTTTAAATTACATATATAATTATAAAATGTAAATATTATCAAATTATTGGAGTCCAATCGGGTATTAGACCATTCACAGCGCCAAGAACGCCCCTCTACGAAAAAAAGGAAAAATATCCCTTTCTCTCATCCGGTCTTAGTGGGACCTATTAGATTGTTAGCTCTGAATCATGACCAATTTAACACGTGGCAAGTTAAATGCATATCCGTTCCACGTGGCAATGTTACTAAACAAGTAAACAGTCCCCAGCGCACGTTGGAAGCAGGAAATAAACCGCACGGCCACGCCCTCTTTTGGTCTTTCTCCCCCCAAAACTCTTCAACTCTTTATTTATACTCTGCGGATGCAAACAGGTACACGTCTTCTTACAGTCTCACTCACTTCTCCCCCCTCGGAGCAACTCCATTTCTGATTCGTCTTCACTTCTTGATGCTGCCTACTATGTAATTTTATCTTCGCAATTCCATCTCTAAAGTCGTCCAAATCGTTTGATTGCAAATATCTCAGCGTGGAGGCTTTCCAGCTCCGTGGGATCGGCAGTCGAAGCCAGAAATCGGCTTTCTTCAATGACGATGATAGGGTTGAGGTCCATAGTGACAAGTTGCAGAGCAGTTGTTTTGCCGCGTTTTGGTGGGCCGGAAGTTCTTGAAGTCCGTCCGAAGGTCGAGGTTCCTGATTTGAAGCCTCACGAAGTACTCGTTCGTGCTCGAGCTGTCTCGATCAATCCACTTGATACACGAGTGAGTTCTCCATCATATTTCTTTGGTCCATACTGTTTCCTGCTGTGTTTTTTTTTTCTTAGTTTGGAATTGGTGATCACCACGAAGGGTTGTTAGATTTTGAAGGATTTTCTACTCTGATATTGTTAATGTTCAGAGGATATTCTTTCGAGGTCAATTAATTTAGAACAGATTATGTTCTGATCCATATGAAGAAAATAGTTCGATAATGTAATTGCTCGAAAAAAAATAGTGTGAAGCGCAAAGTTGCCACATCAATTTGGCCTATTTTAGTAGAAAGTCATAATTTAGTTGGCTACTCTAGGATATTTAGACAGAGAATATATGGAGATTATGGGAGTACGGTGTTAAAGTGCAAATAGTGGTTCTGAAAAGAAATTATGACGTATGTGTTCATTAACGTAAGAATCTTGTCTGGTTCTTCATACTATGTTAGCATGAGCTTTGGAATAGTTGCATTTCGGTTAGATGTATATGCAAATTGATGTTCCGAATTTGTATCATTGGGCCAAGGAGTGAAATCTTGCTGTAATCAACTGTCTCTCTTGCTCCAAATTGCCTAATGGACAATGCGTTGAGACAATCTGTTTAGTTTAGCTACTTTGAAAATTGATTGGAAAAATAGAAAAGTTCTACTTACTGGAACATTTCTGTGCATAATATTCTGTGAAGGATAGGAAACACCTGTCACAGAGGATCCATGGATATGCATTAATGTTGGAACTCCTATGTGGATCAAAGATCTAATTCCCAACTTCCTTTTTGTCATTGTTTAACACTATAATTATGGTAATGAGATAAATTTCTGTATATACTGTTTATAAAAAAAAAAAAAAAATCTGCATATACTCAATGGTACATCTTTAAAATTCCTTAGATGCGATCTGGCTATGGTCGTTCCATTTTTGAACCACTTCTGCCTCTGATATTGGGACGCGATATTAGCGGTGAAGTTGCAGCTATTGGAAGTTCAGTTCAATCGTTGAGTGTTGGACAAGAAGTTTTTGGTGCGCTGCACCCAACTGCTGTGAGGGGCACTTATACTGACTATGCAATTCTGTCAGAAGATGAGCTTACACTAAAGCCACCTTCAGTTACACATGTGGTAAGTCCTCATATATGGAATTTGTGCTTCATTTATTGGAGAAGTTTTTACTTTTATTTAGTTTTAACAATGGATAGACCCATAATACTCTAGCATATATAATTGCATAATTTTCTTTTTTTTCATGGATAAAAAGATATGCAGTTATATAATTTTCTTTCTCATTCTTATGAATTGTTTTGTTTCGTTTAGATTTACTTGCTCATACATATTTTTAGATATATAATCCCTGAAATTTTCAGTTGCTGCAAGCAAAAGTAATTAAGAAAAATGCGTAGATACTGTTTCCTGTAAACAAATTTATGAAGAGAATTGTCTCTTTTAGAAAGACTTACTCCTTTATAGAAGTTTCATGGGTAGTGATCTGAAGAGTCTGTAGTATTTGGATAGTCAGCAAGTAGAAATGACATTTTCTTCTGTTTTCATATGATTTCCTTTGATATAGTTTGTTGACCATGGGATATCATTTTGCCAAATTTTTCTGTGATAATGTAGGAGGCAAGCGCTATTCCTTTCGCTGCATTGACTGCCTGGCGTGCTCTAAGGAGTACTGCTAGGATTACTGACGGGTATGTTTAAATGCATGTTTCAAGGTTTTTAGCTTTCTGTTCTGATAAGAGCCTAACCAGGTAGTTGCATGACCAAAAGGTAGAAGCATTTCTTTTTGTCTTTTAATTTAAATTTATGGTCAGCTTTTTGTCAAGTGTGGTACCTACACATGTTTTAACCAAAATGAAAGATCTTGGTTGAGATCGAACTGTAGCTTTGACATGAAGAAATCATTTTAACCAATTCGGAATGGTGGTAGTACTATTGACTTCGGTTTTCTTAATCTATTTACTTTTTTCATGGAATAACATTCTTCACTAAGCCATACAAAGGATGATATCTGCTTGGTTATTTGCAACCCTCTTATGTGTTTTTCTTGTTAGACACCTCTAATTCCAAATCTTGATATTGCCACACCATCAATTCTTTATTTTATGCTTTACTTGAGACCCATCTTGTAATGCATAAGAATCTGTCCTTCTAATCCGTGTCCTTCACTTTATTCTCTAGTCTTTTTTTTTTTTTTTTTGAGAACGGGTAAAGTATAATGTCATTAAATGGAAATGAGATAAGCATGTACAGCTTACAAACACTCCCTGTGCAGTATATTTCCCAGCCCTGTTTTAAAAAAAGATTATCATATACAAAAAAGAGTTATAATTTCTATCCTTAACCAACTTGTTACAGAGAGCCAAGAACACATTTTGCCCACAATTTTCTGAAAAGCTGAATCAGTAGAGCTACTTTTATTATTGAATATTCTTGTGTTTCTTCCTTGCCAAGTGCACCAAAAGGTTACTGCTGAAGCCATGTTCCATGCCAATTTTCTCCTCTTGGATAGTTCTCCTATACTCCAGCCTTGCGTAAACTTCATTACTGATTTTGGACAGCAACTTTTCACCTCAAACAACTTCTGAATTTTGGACCAGACCTCAGAAGAAAATCTACAATGTTTTTTTTTTCTCCTACAGCGGATGATTCACAAATTCCTCTTGTTGTTCACATAGGACACAATTTGTGGAGCCAATTGCATACCCTTCCTTACCAAGTTATCCCTAGTAAGGATTCTATTTAGGTATGCAGTCCAAACAAAAAAAGCTACCCTTGTAGGCACATTCTTGCACCAAACAATCTTGACTGGGATTCCCTGCTTCTCTGACCTGGAAATGAAATCATAGAAGGATTTAACTGAATTTTTTTTCCAGATTCATCCCACTCACACATTCTCTTATCATTCCTTCTGATGTCCACTTGGGTGTTGTACAGCTTCTGCAACATTTCCACCATTACCTCTACTTCCTAGTTGTTCAGATTTCTTCTAAACTGGGGGAACCCACACCGCATTTCCATTTTGCACCTGCATATTTTCTGCCACAGTGGCTTCTTTGTTTGCTGCCACCTTATAAAGGGCGGCATAGATCTCCTCCAGAGGTCTGTTTTCACACCAGAATTTTACCCTGAGTTCATCCCTAACTTTGAATCTTACTCCTTTAGAGAAAAGATCACAGGCCTTTTCAACTCCTTTTCACATTGCATCCATAGCTTTGATTTGATACTCGCAGTTCCCTTCTTGGGTTTCTAAAACCATACTTTGCTGCCACTGCCCTTCTCCACAGCCCCCCTCCGACTGTTACCAAATTTCCAATAACATTTACCCAAAAGGGCAATATTGATATTTCTCACCCTGCAGATGCCTAGACCTCCTTGCTGTTTAGTTTTACACACCTTATTCCTGCTAACCAGGTTGTATTTTTTCTTCTCCTCTTTCCATTCTCTCCAAAAAAACTCTCATTTTGATTTCTCTATGCTCTTTATTTTCTGTTGGCAATGTTGGCAACATTTATCTGTTGTAAATGGTTTTTCCTCACCCTGCACATACC